TACAAATTACCCAGCCAGAATATAATTTACATTGCTGGAATTCTTATAATTTGGTGATCATTTTGAATATAAACATCATAGATTTTGCATTAGACATACAAATTTTAGATGTAAAGTTTATTCTGAGTAAATATGTTATCTTTTGTGAAAAATATATGACATTTATATTCAAAATATTCCTGGTCTTACAAGGAATCCAGCAATGTCAATTATATTATCCTAACTTTAGTTTGAGGTATTATTTATTACTAAAAGGTAAATATTCTGGTTTTCCCACACATCTGGTGAGACGGTTGGTGGGGGGTGGGGGGGAGGGAGGGACCGAACGACCATCTGTTACAGTGAAGAATATTTTTATTTTTTTATTAACTAAAGATATTTGTTTTAGCTCATAAAATTCATACAATTACCCGGTCAGAATATAATTTACATTGCTGGAATTCTTATAATTTGGTGATCATTTTGAATATAAACATCATAGATTTTGCATTAGACATACAAATTTTAGATGTAAAGTTTATTCTGAGTAAATATGTTATCTTTTGTGAAAAATATATGACATTTATATTCAAAATATTCCTGGTCTTACAAGGAATCCAGCAATGTCAATTATATTATCCTAACTTTAATCTGAGGTATTATTTAATACTAAATGTTAAAAACTCTTGAAGGGAGGATTGGTGGGGGGTTGGGGGGAGGGTTGGGACTGACCACGCGGTTGGAAGAGGGGGGGAAGGCAAGGTGGGGTACTTTGATTGACAGATAGTGTCGTGAAGAATATTTTTTTTTTTTTATTAATTGAAGATATTTGTTTTAGCTCATAAAATTCATACAAATTATCCGGCCAGAATATAATTTACATTGCTGGAATTCTTACAATTTGGTGATCATTTTGAATATAAACATCATAGATTTTGCATTAGACATACAAATTTTAGATGTAAAGTTTATTCTGAGTAAATATGTTATCTTTTGTGAAAAATATATGACATTTGTATTCAAAATATTCCTGGTCTTACAAGGAATCCAGCAATGTCAATTATATTATCCTAACTTTAGTTTGAGGAATTATTTATTACTATACCTGGTTTTCCCCCCCAAATTTCTCAGAGGGAAGAGCCAGCGAGTGTAGTGTGAGAGGGGGAGGGAGTCGAGTCCATTATTTGAATGGACATTAACTTGGCGACTGTATTTCTCTATTTCTCTTAAGTATTAATTGTGTGCATGTACCATCATAAAATTAAGATGTTATTTTTACTACAACATAGTTATGTGTCTTCAAAAAGTGGAGTTTGGGGGTCGGGCTGGTTTCTATTGGAATTAATCCCATATGTTCTGTTGTTCACTTAACGCGGATTTCACTTAACACGGGACCCTCTGGGTTCTATTGACCGCGTTAAGTGGGGTACAACTGTATGTTTATATATATGTATGTATATATATATATATATATATATATATATATATATATATATATATATATATATATATATATATATATATATATATATATATATATATATATATATATATATATATATACATACACACACACACACTACAATAATCACATCGATATGTTTACAATGTTTATGCATAATAAATGTGAAAAATATTTTTGGGGTTTCAATTAACCATTAGTCATGCCTACAAAACAATCTTGATTCTCTAAGTGCATGTGTGTGTGTTCAATAATGAGTAACTGATTCACATTATTTTGGTAAATAAAGAAATGAAAAGCAAGCACTTAACCATATGGATATAGATACACGGAAGAAGGGAAATAAGGATGAACCATGGTTTTGATGGAAACAATGTGCTCTGGGACGATGCTCACAATGACGAATGGAAGAAACGTCTTTATGAAACATCTTACCTACTAAGGATAAAGCTTAATGTTACAGAACACACACACACACACACACGCAGTGTAACTTTGTGTGATGCGTTGCATGACTTGGGGTGGCTTTGAGCGAACCATACACTTGATATTACAATTTATGTATACTTCCTGTCCATGATTTACAACAATAACTGTAGGGTAAAAGTTACAATATTATACTAATAACACTGTCATGTATTGATACTATGACTAGTTACCAAGATACAGAGCACGATGAACATAACATGATAATGATAGTGAAGCCTGGAAGGCTTCATATCATAACTTAAGTGTTCGTGTGTATGTTGCCCAGTGAGAGTTACCATGGGCCTCCATGTGCCCAGGTGGGTTGGTCAAAGTATTACACTATAAGTGTGTCAAATGAGGAGTGACTGATCCACATGTAATTTAAGGTTTTTGAAACATGTAGTTAAATTAAACGCGATTTTTATATAGTTATGCGAATTATGGGAAAATAAAAGATATAGATGGGGTGTGGTGGAAGCATCGTGGTCTGGCACACACACACACAAGCGCTGTAAACGTTGTGTGAATTCACTGGGTGGTTTGGAAGTGTTTATTTCCATTCATACTTTCGTAACTACAACCTAAGGTAATTTTTCTTCGTGTTCATATATAGTGAAGGTAATGCAGAGTATAAAATGCCATATACAATACTTAGACATAATGTCATCTATGCAGCCGTACTATGACTGTGTGTGTTCATGCATGTGTGCTTCGTGATAGTTAGAGTGGGCCCCCGTCCAGAAAGGACACTGTACTAACCTCCAGCACCGACCCAGGTGGGCTAGAGAATATGGTTACGACTGAACTTATAAACTAACCCTTAAAAATAAACATATGCTGTAAAATGCTCAGGATTTCATCTATAAATATCCAGAGAAATGTTTATTATACATATTCACAAAATAACTTTCATAACCTCATGCATATCATACACAAGTTTTTAAAATATAAAACTAATTACTGCAATAACAATTTCACACAACAATAAAAGGGGACGGATCCATTTCATTAAAAGCTGCCTTTATGCACCGGTCTAGGAACAGCTGCACAAGAAATCGCTACCAATCAGATTATTGATTCGTCGACTATCTTTCTCTTTCAATAAATACCATACCATACCTTTTCACCACCCCTCATACCATTCACCACGCCCCATACCATTCACCCGCCCTCATACCATTCACCACCCCCTATACCATTCACCACCCCCCATACCATTCACCACCCCTCATACCATTCACCACCCCATACCATTCACCACCCTCATACCATTCACCACCCCATACCATTCAACCCCATGCCATTCACCACCCCCCATGCCATTCACCACCCCCATACCACCCCTGTACCATTCACCACCCCATACCGTCACCACCCCATACCATTCACCACCTCATACCATTCACCACCCCCATACCATTCACCACCCCATACCATTCAACACCCCCCATACCATTCAACACCCCCCATACCCATTCAACACCCCTCACCATTCATCACCCCTCATACCATTCACCACCCCCATACCATTCATCACCCCCATACCATTCACCACCCCATACCATTCACCACCTCATACCATTCACCACCCCTCAAACCATTCACCACCCCTCATACCATTCACCACCCCCATACCATTCATCACCCCCCCACACCATTCACCACCCCCAATACCATTCACCACCCTCATACCATTCACCACCTCCATACCATTCACCACCCTCATACCATTCACCCTCATACCATTCACCACCCCTCATACCATTCACCACCCTCCATACCATTCATCACCCCCCATACCATTCACCACCCCTCATACCATTCACCACCCCTCATACCATTCACCACCCCTCATACCATTCACCACCCCTCATAACAGGAATAAACATGTCCAAAAACACTTATTCCTTTTTCAAATAATATATAATAATATTAAGACTTAAAAACATTCCTAACTACAGTACATAAAAATACTAGTCAATTTTAAATATAGTACTAAGTCTTTAAGCATGAGCAGTTTAATTTTCACATTGACGCTCAACATGTTCTGACATATTACAGCAAGTGAATGGAATATACATTAAATTTCACCTGAACAGCTTTGGCAGTCAACCTATATTAAGTTTTCACATCTAATATCAGAGTTTTCCCACTGAGGATGATACTCCAGATATATATTTTTTTAAGGCTTAGGATCAAGGAGCTAACAGCTTGTGAATTACAGTACAGTAAGTCATTAAACAAACAAGACAAACTAATTATAAAATTAACTTAAAAGATAAAAATTTTTGTTAGATTGGATAAATTATTATTTTTTCCCCAAAAACAATTTAGAAACGCTAAGATATTAGTTGAGTTAGTTGACAAGGTTGCTGCCAATTTCATACTGAACTCTTGAAATATGATAACTAGTACGGTATACTATACTGCAGTAGGGTTACCTATGTGCTGTACTGTGTAACTTGAAAACTTTACATATTTAACTACAATAAAGACTAAAATAATATTTATTACAGGACAAGGTGATGGAAACTACTTATGCAGGGGGTCCCCGGAATACAAACGGGTGCCGTTCCTGAGGACGTTCTCAATTCGGATTTGTACGTAAGTCGGAACACGTGCTATGTGCATACAACCGTACTTACAGAACAATGTTTAAAATCCCATTATATCATTTAAGACAAAAGAAGAAACAGAATGACAAAATACAGTTAATAAAAATAAAAATAAGTAATCAGGTAAATAAAATACAGTACAGTACTGTACATTTCAAGTTTAACCCCATTCATATCGGCGGACATTAACAAGTCGGGGACCCCCTGTACAAATACAGTATAGTCTCGATTTATGCGGATTTCATTTACACGTTTGGTCATTTACCTTGCCAGACCGACAATTTTTATTTACACGGTATTTTCCATCATTTACGCGGGAAGCGGCGCGGGCAGGGTGCGCACAAGGTCGCCCAGTCAACAAAACATTATGGAGTTTTTCACCCGCCACCCACCACAGCCAGCCCAAGTCAGTGATAGTGAGGATATGGACTTTGAGGAGTTTGACAAAGAGGCCCTGCAAGCCTCTGTGGTGGATAGTGATACAGGTGAGGGCCAATAATCTGCTCTCTGCCTCAGAACCAACCCCCCATCCCCGTGTACCCAGCCATCTCTTCTACTAACGTAAGTGTTAAAAAACCTAATATTATTGATACAGTATTTCTCTAAAATATTAATTGTGGGTGCATACCAACATAAAATTAAGATGTTATTTTTACTACAACATACGTATTGTGTCGGAAAAGTGTAGTTTGGGGGTCGGCCCAGTCTCTATTTCAATTAACCCCTTATGTTCTCTTATTTCGTTTACGCGTTCCTCGTTTTACGCAGACCTCCACTGGTTTAATTGACCGCGTAAATCGAGACTATACTGTATTGTACAATATCATAACAGTACTGTAATCTATACAAAAGTACTTATAATACTGTACATTATATAATTACTTTCCAATTTTAGGTAATACACCTGGGCAAAAGAATAATGTTAGGTTTACATGATCCAGACTCCCAGAATTTGGAGACACTATGCTGGCTGGAAAACCATCCTCAACCATTGTTCTTTTCTGCAATAGTTGATTCAGAGGAGTTAATACTCAAGATTCTTTACAGTACTGGTACAGTACAGAATATCAAAATGATAAAAAGCTGCAGGCATTTCCAAATTCCAGGAATACATTTATGTACCACAGAACCTTTGTTCAATCCTTAGATCTGTCATTGAGGCATTTGATTACAAAATTAACCATCTAAAAAAAGTATTTCAGATGATTATTGAAGATTTCTACAATATTTTGGGAATTTACAATAATGTTTCACTGTACAACATTCATCATCAGAGTTAGACACAGCAACAGATATGAGATTTGTAGTGAAGCGGAGTTAGCGGTGCAGTCCACTTCGTACCGAGCATTCAGAAACTCTAAGCCTGGGAAAAAAAATATTTATAAAAATTTATTTGTTTAGCATTTCATAAGATTTATGAGGAATAATGTAAAGCTTGATCCATAATTTTCCAACCACCTCTACCAATATCCAGAAATGGAGGATTATCATGGAAATATGTTACAAACGAGACCACAGATGATGGTTACGTAATCTCACACACCTTGCCTCTACACTTGAAGATTCTAAATACTAAAGGCAGGACCGAACCAATCAGGCCAATTTGCTATCTATATACCTCTGTACTGTACTTCTCATAGTAACTAACACTGTACCATTGAAAGAAAGACTGGAAGCAAGAGTTACCAAGCAGCCTGGCAGATAAGGTACTTAGGCTCCTTCTAAGCGACACGCCGCCACATGAGCCTAGTCTTTTAACATTCATATCTCAAAACATCAGTTTGGCATGACCTCATACCTTCTAGGGGTTTCTTTCTTGTTTTGTAATTCTTATACTGTATATGTGATATTCTGAAATTTTAGAACGGAAAATTACCGATTTGACGAACGGGGAAACATAAGTGAGGCAGTCGTGAGCACTCATACCGCCTGGCCAGTCTGGCAAAGCTATTGTTAACAGTGCACCAGGCAGGGAGTCGGGAACTAAGTGACCAACTAGCGTCATGCAAAATAGGAAAACGTATTTTATCAAATAAATTCATACACCATTGACGAAGTTAAAAGCCAGCTGTAATACAGTATGTTACATAAGGTATCTTGGATAATATTCCATTTGAAAATATGTTACGTGTCCCCTCAGTAAATAATTTAAATATGAGAAGAATGCCGTCCTGCAGTCATGAATTATTAACATAATTACCGGAAAGCCCGAAAGGACGTTTGTGTCCGGAAAGCCTGCCCCTGGATGCAGCATGAGTGAATTGAAATGTTGATGGCTCTGGGAGACAGAAATTCCTAAAGTGCTAGCGAGTACTGTATGCCCACCGAGTATCAGTGCCAAATCTTCGACTAGGTGTCTTCATCTCTCTTCAACTATGGGTGTTTGTGGTTTGTTTAACCATGTCCTGGTGTGAGGTCTACGGTGCTGATAGTTGAACTCACACTTTGGATGTGGAATTGTTTTTTAAAGGATTGTTTTGGTGCTATGATGTGATGGAACTTGACGGTAATGGTGTATTTTGGGCTAGTATTGTTGATCACAGGGACGGTGGAGGAGGAGGAGGAGGCACTCGTGAACTCTGGAGTAAAGTAATAAGAATAAACGGGTGAACCGCCCCCTGATGAGTGGTTTCTCGGTTCTCATATAATTTTGGGTCTTATGTACAGTAAGTTCTCGCTTAACGTCGGGGTTACGTTCCCAAAAATGCGACGTTATACGAAACAACGTTAAGCGGATCAATTTTCCCCATAAGAAATAGATAAAATACAAAATTTACATTCCTGAGCCTCCCTTTGCCCCATGAAATACATTACATATACATAAATTAAAAGATCCTTGTGTGATGCCTGGTAAGGTGCTTGTATGCATTACTATAGTCACATTCACTGAGATGTATAAGAGAAAAACTTAAAACTCCTCTATATGACAGATAAATAACATTAGGTAACCTTGGTTGGTCAGCGGGCTGGCGCCAGCTGTCATAAAAAATCTCCTCCCCTCCGAACTTCCGGCAAGATTGAAGGTTGTTTAGGCTTAAAGTCTTTGTCTTATAAAATAGCACAGACTAAAGTTAACAGAATATAAATTGCATTGCTGGAATCCTTGCAAGACAGCAAATAATATGATATAGACATCATATATTTTGCACAAGGGATAAAAATTTCAATTCCTAAAGTACATTTAAGTACTGTACATGTTTTTTAACTTATCTTTCAGTAGATATAGTAACTTTCATTTATTTTTCTCGTTTACATGCACACACCATCCTAAATACATATTGTGAAAAAGGTAAATGAAATATTTGTCCTAAGGGAGAGAATGATGCTCTGTAGTCCGTGACGACTTAGTACAGAGACACTGGGACATTAAAAAAAATTTTGGTCTCTTAAAGTTTAGCAATGTAGTACCGCAACAACATTAAGCGGGCCGACGTTAAGCGAGGACGTACTGTATGTGCATGCTGATTGGGCTCTGATGATCTCAGGCCGTTATGATTTATCCAAGTTTTTGTGTAGGTTATTAGTTGCCATCTTGGGTCTTTGTGCAGTATATTTAATTGAGAATGTGGAAAATCTCCTACAGATTTAACTAATAATTTTCTAGTAGTTAATATTATCTTTTGAGGTTTTCAGACCACTATGCTATTTTATGAATACAGTACAGTAGAACCTCATTAAATCTGACTAATTGGGGCAGACCCCAGTCCGAAAAATGCGAAAGTCCAAGAAAACCAAATACAGTTCAGTGATATCCCAGTTAGCCGGAACAATTGGTGCAGAGCACTTCCAGGAATGAGAGATTTCCGGGTAACGAGACGACTCTCTCAAAGCCGGAAAAAATCCCTCATCCCCGGAATTTTCCGGGAAACGGAAAAATATTCTTGGAAGTTCCAGAAATTGTGCCCGATTTTTAACTCTCGAACCTGGAAAAAAATTCACCCATCCCCGGAATTTTCCGGAAAATGTGTCCCTCGGAAAATTTCAATTCCAGCTATCGGAGTTCCGGGTTTGGGGGATTCCGGCGAACAGAGATATTACTGTACATGGGGCAGTTGGGGGGGAGGAGGATATAACACTGATTATCTGAACTGTTTAAAGAAAATTAGTTACAGTGAGTTCTGCTATAACGCGTGTTTTGATAACGCGAATTTGCTCTAACGCGATTTATGAATTAGGAACGATATTTGTATAACGCGAACGCTTGTTTGCTATAACGCGATTTTTGCTTACTCTTTCTCCAATTTTGTGGTACAGTGGGGTATGCTATAACGAATCTAATTGGTTCTAGAACCTTGCTCCTTACAGCATTCGTTCGTTATAGGATTAATCCGTTCCAGGCCCCCAAATACAACCACTTAACACTGAAAAATATAATATAAAATTTTAAAAATTGTAAAAAAGTGCATAAATATGCATCTAAACCCCTGAAATAAAGAATATCATTAATATTTGTAATAAAAAAACAATAAATTAGAAAAAAAAAAAATTAAATAATGTTCGTTGTAGGAGTTTCGTTCGTTATAGCATTCTCAATTTTATAGGTAAAACCGTTCGTTATAGGAATATTCGTAGTAGGATCCATTCGTTATAGCATACCCCACTGTATTAACTGTGAATATAGTAAAGAAGAATATCAACAAGAAGCGTTCTGGTGATAGAATTCCCGGTGATGATCGTAAAAGAAAGGATATAACACTTGAAGAGAAGCTCGATTTTATCAACCTCAAAATCACCCTTCTCCCCCATCAAGTAAAGTGTTACATTTACTGTATGATTTCATTATTAGATATGAATGTAACATTTATTTAGACTGTGCTATCCTTTGTGTTAGGCTAACTACTAAATTTTTTCGATTTCGAGTAATCTGCACCTAACCCTATTTTCTCCATAAGCCCTGTTATTTCTATTACGCGATTTTCTATAACACGATATTTTACAAGAACACAATTATCGCGTTATAGCAGAACTACCTGTATGTTATTACTGCACTTCAACAACTAAGGTCATTAAGTGTATAACAGGGTTATTAAAAGAATATTACATCAACAATAAAATAAATATGAAACAGAACTCTCTGGGTTGAAAATCAGACATTAAGTCAGGTTGTCACTGAGATGATTGTTATTTATTGTAAAGTGTAACATGTAAGTAACCATAGATTTGTCTTGTGAATTTAGAGATAACTGTATACTGTACAGTACTATAAAGATAAAAATAAGAACCAATAAGCGTAGGAGTAAAGTGGTCCTTCGGTTAACGAACACAATTGGTTCCACAGAGTTGTTCGTTAACCGAATCTGTTATTTCAATGGGATATTGGGTAATTGGTTCCAACTCACAGAAAAAGTACTACTGTACATACAAAGTACTGTATACCAGTAATAGAATTAACAAAACATTAAATATAAACTAAATACAGTACTGTACTGTACAGTATACTGTACAAAAATAAATAAAAAACAATAGAATACAGGGAAGCCTCGGATAACAACGGTTCGACCAACAACTTTTCATATTTGATACCCTTGATATTTAGGACCCAATTCAGTTTACATCCTTATTTCATTCGTATTTACGTCCAAAATATAATAAAAAATAAATAAAATTACATTTTCATATAAATAATAATTAAATCCTGATATGTAGTATTAAAAAAAAAAAATTACTGTAAAAAAATGAAGAGTGCCTTGCACAAAAAAGCTGCCTTGCTAATGGGTGGAAAACAACACTCTGAGCTTGGCGAGCCTTTTGTTTTCACGCATATGGAACAGGAACTGGAGAAAAATTTTCTCAGGTTTCTTACAGCATTTTTGCATCCCTATTCAACATGAGCAAGAGAGCAAGTGATGGTAGTGTTGTTTCAAAAGCTAATAGAAAGTATCTAAGCTTTGCCAAGAAACTAGATGTGTTAGAACGATATGAAAAAGGTGAGAGGTCTGTGGATATTATATGGAACAATGAACATATTTTCTGAAGTGGATCCATTAACAGAAAGCCTTAAAATTTAAATAAATGCAAAACACCTCTACATAAAGATGTATAATGAGAAAAGAGAGCAGCTGTGCAAGGTTCTTTCGAGAGCTTTATTATTTGAATGCCTAAACCAGGGGTGGGCAAAGTGCGCCCCGCGGGCCACATTTGGCCCGCCAAATTATTTCTGTGGCCCGCCACTGCATTTGGCAATCAGAAAAAAATCCTTATTAATTACAGAAAGGACAATTTTGGAAGTTGGGTGGACATAGCAGCAATACTGGCTCGTCGCTGTTAACCTGTGGCCCGCGAAGTGTGCCACCATTCATGAAGTGGCCCTCCATCAAAAACAATTGCCCACCCCTGGCCTAAACCATCCACTTCAGCATCATA